AATGAAGCACGGTTATCCTTGAAAGAAAAGCTGCATTATGGTGCTTTCAAAAAAGAAAGCAACCAGACTTTCAAGCAATTTCAGCAAATGAAGCAGAAAAGAAGAAACAGAATTAAAATCCCAAAGCGAAAAACTAAATAACTAATCGAGATTCTTACGATTCTTTCAGGAAACAAAAAACCATTATTCTGTTGAGATTTTTCAGGAAGCGAAAAAGGAAATAGTAATCTAAAAACCAAACCAAACAATTGAAACTACGACACGATTTCAGTGAGCTGAAAAATTGGTCGAAGGTTATTTCAACAGAACTTCAAAAAATTATAATTTTTTTTTTGGAATTTTTGTTTTCTGATAACCTATCTATATAAAGTAAAAACCGGTGGCGCAAATAACACTCCCGCAACTTATTTGACTTAAATTTTTTCTTCAATTTTAAATTTTTTTTATCTTCATTTTTTCGAGTTTTCAAACTTGAATTTTTCAAATTTCAATTCATTTTCTACATTTTGCATTTCGATTTGAGTTTCTCGAGTTTTCAATTTTTCCATTTGCAATTTTTCGTTTCAGTTTTTTATTTTCTTCATTTTTACAATTTTTCAATGTTCCCATTTTACAGTTTTTTGTTTTTTGTTTTTTCAATTTCACTTTTTTCAATTTTTCTCTCTCTAGATATTTACAAAACAAAGATTAAGCCCCACCCACCCGCCTCGGTCTTAATTATGATGAGTTTTTTATTCCTAATCAGAGCAAAGGGCGGAGTTTAATTGTAACATCAATATGTCTCTAAAAAATTCCACCCTTTTAAAAACATATTCCATAATATGGTAATTTCTTGTAGAAAAATGAGGATTTTTCAACTAAACTCCACCCTTTTGCACACGATAATAAATAAAATATTCATCACAATTGAGAAGGGGTGGGTGGGCGGGGCTTATATTTTGTCCATACTTTTCTTAATATACGAAGTCTTTTTTTCCCAACAAGAAACTGAAAACATGTTTAACTATCCTGTTGTTGAAAGAAAAATCTACATATCAAAAGAAAAACAAAGAGTAAGCCCCGCCCACCCGCCCGGATCTCAATTGTGATGAGCTTTTCATTCCAAAATTAGACCGAAGGGTGGAGTTAATTGTAACATCAATATTTCTGTACAAAAATTCTACCCTTTTAAAAACATATTTCATATGGTATTTTCTTGGAGAGAAATGAGGATTTTTCAACTAAACTTCCCCCTTCAGCACACGATAATAAATAAAATATTCATCACACTTGAGAAGGGGTGGGTGGGCGGGGTTTATATTTTGTTCATTTTTTCTTAATACACGAACTCTTCTTTTCCCAACAAGAAACTGACAACAATATATTGTTAAACTATCCCGTTAAAAGAAAACTTTATACCTATATTAAAAAAAAAACAAAAATTAAGCCCCATCCACCCGCCTCGGTCTCAATTGTAAGAATGTTTCATTCCAAAATCAGACCGACGGGCGGAGTTTAATTGCATCATCAGCATTTCTGTAAAAAATTCTACTCTTAAAAACATATTCCATAATATAGTAATTTGTTGTGGAGAACTGAGGATTTTTCAACTAAACTCCGCCCTTTAGCGCACGATAATAAGTCAAATATTCATTACAATTGAGAAGGGGTGGGTGGGCGTGGCTTATATTTTGTCCGTTTTTTCTTAATATACGAAGTCTTCTTGTCCCAACAAAAAACTGAAAACATGTTTAACTATCCTGTTTTTAAAAGAAAACTCTTGATATTTAAAAGAAACAAATATTAAGCTCCACCCACCCGCCCCGATCTCAATTATGATGAGTTTTTTTATTCCAAATTAGACCGAAGGGTGGAGTTTTAATTGTAAGATCAATATTTGTCCAAAAAATTCTACCCTTTTAAAAACATATTTCATATGGTAGTTTCTTGTGGAGAAATGAGAATTTTTCAACCAAACTCCGCCCTTTAACGCACGATAATAAATAAATTATTCATCACAATTGAGAAGGGGTGGGTGGGCGGGGCTTATATTTTGTCCATATTTTTCTCAATATCCGAAGTCTTTTTCCAACAAGAAACTGAAAACATGTTTAACTATACTGCTGTTGAAGGAAAACTCTACATATTAAAAGAAAAACAAAGAGTAAGCCCCGCCCATCCGCCCCGATCTCAATTGTGATGAGCTTTTCATTCCAAAATCAGACCGAAGGGCGGAGTTTAACTGTAATATCAGTATTTCTCTAAAAAATTCTACTCTTAAAAACATATTCCATAATATGGTAATTTCTTGTGAAGAAATGAGGATTTTTCAACTAAACTCCGCCCTTCAGCTCACGATAATAAATAAAATATTCATCACAATTGAGAAGGGGTGGGTGGGTGGGGCTTATATTTTGTCCGTTTTTTCTTAATATACGAAGTCTTCTTTTCCCAACAAGAAACTGACAACAATATGTTTAACTATTCTGTTGAAAGAAAACTATATATTAAAAAAAAAAAACAAAAATTAAGCCCCCCCACCCGCTCCGTTCTGAGTTGTGATGAGTGTTTGTTCCAAAGTCAGGTCGAAGGGCGGAATTTAATTGTAACATCAATATTTCTCTAAAAATTCCACCCTATTAACAACATATTTCATATGGTAATTTCTTATAGAGAAGTGAGGATTTTTCAACTAAACTCCGCCCTACAGCGCACGATAATAAGTAAAATATTCATCACAATTGAGAAGGGGTGGGTGGGCGGGGCTTATATTTTGTCCGTTTTTTCTTAATATACGAATCCTATTTTTAAAAGAAAACTCTTGATATTAAAAAAAAAAAACAAAGATTTAGCCCCACCCACCCGCCCCGGTCTCAATTATGATGAGTTTTTTTATTCCTAATCAGACCGAAGGGTGGAGTCTTAATTATAACATCAATATATTTTTTTTTTAAATCGACCCTTTTAAAAACATGTCATATGGTAATTTCTTAGAAAGAAATGAGGATTTTACACAACTAAACTCCGCCCTTCAGCTCACGATAATGAATAAAATATTCATCACAATTGAGACGGGGTGGGTGGGCGGGGCTTATATTTTGTCCATTTTTTCTTAGTATACAAAGTCTTCTTTTCCCAATAAGAAACTGAAAACATGTTTAACTATCCTGTTGTTGAACGAAAACTCTGCATATTAAAAGAAAAACAAAGAGTAAGCCCCGCCCACCCGCCCCGATCTCAATTGTGATGAATTTTTCATTCGTTGTTAGACCGAGGAGCGGAGCGTAATTGCAAAATACATATTTTTCTATTGATTTGAATGAGTTTGTCTTCTCAAAACAGAGGACAAATTATTAATTAAACCATAATCGAACATTATAATTCTTATTTTAATATTATTATATAAAGACGTGCATTTTTTCACGTTCTCCAGAAAATGGGGTCAGCTGCTGAGTCACTGAGCCACTGAGCCACGAGCTCATATTTCTCGTGGTGGTAATATAACGTTATTGTACTGTTTTCGCAAAAATTTGAATATTTAGCGAAAAAACTGAAACCGGATTTCTATACTACAAGTATAGGAGTATATTTTTGTATCACATTTAGCTCATGTTTAGCCAAATTTTGGCTAGCAATTTTTAACCATCTACATGATATTTCTAACACACTACAAAATTTGACAACAGTCGGTCCAGCAGTTTCGGAGATTACGTGTCTAATAAAAATGGATACAGACAGACGGACGGACGGACGGACGAACGGACGGAAACGGGAGACGCTCGGAAAGTAAAAAGACGAAAAATAGACATTTTTCAATGGAGAGGAACCGCATTATGCTACTTCTAAAAAGGAAAACAATCAAATTTAGCAGCAATTTCATCAAATGAAGCAGAAAAGAAGAAACAGAATTAAAATCCGAAGATTGTTTTAGAAAGCGAAAAACGAAGCACTGTTATTCTCTTCAACTGAAGTAGCCATCAAAATTAACTAATTGCTACCTCAAATCACAAAAGACATAAAAATGATTAAATAAATACGTCGAGATCGATTAAAAAATAATTTTTTTCAGCCCCTAATCTTGCTAGCAGTAGATAATGGTGCCAAAACGAAATTATAAAAGAATCTCCACTTTGTTGAGCTTTTTTAACATTTTCGTGGATAAAATGAAGTGACATTTCTGAAGCATTCCAGGCGTATTTATTTTTTTTACATGACGTCATGAATCTTGTGGAGAGGAAGAAATACATTTTAGATGATATTTTATTATTTATATCAGTTTTAGCCTTTTACCACCATGTGGGAGAAGTCCGTCGCACAATTATTATTATTAAGTTTGAATTTATAAATATTTTACAGGATAATTCATATACGTAAAATAATTTGAGTGGATTATTAAATTACAGATAAAGAAGAATATGTAACAAATGAATAAATATCAATTTTATGATTGTAGCAATAATCCCAGCTGCAATCCTTTTCTGTAAAGATTACGCCTGAAGCAAAGCAAACAATTCAATAAACATAAAATTCTAATATGTAGTTATTATATGTTAATCAATATCTATAAAAGTCAAAGGACTGGATTGAAACAATTGTAGCAATTAAATCAGCGTACGAGCGTCCGTAAATTTTAATTTCCGAACAAAGCCTCGAACATATGTATGACTTTCAAAGGAGCCATGCAGTCATTAAACCGACAATAAATAATCGTCGATTAATATTTATATCTTCTCCACAACAATCGTCCGCACTGAATCCAATAAATTGATATAAAATATGGATATGTTTTCTTCGATAACACAATTAGCGTTGTAGTTCACAGGTCAGCGTAAGCAAGTCCAAAGTGACCAAGTTAGCGCGATAAAAGTGCCACATTTCATTGAAATAATTGTCGACAACTCCATAAATAATGACTTATTAGCACTTCAGTAATTGATAATAAATTTATTTTCAAGCGCTGACATAACATATAAACAGTCGCCAAAACACAGAACTAATTCCCTTTGTACTTTTTTTTACAGGCTGCCGGTTTAGAATTAAAAGAAAACTTGGCAGCTGGGGCTGCGACATGGCCCTACCCTTCCGTTTATCATCCCTACGATACCGCCTTCGCAGGATATCCATTTAATGGGTGAGTTATCTCTGAGTAATGGAATTGTTTTTTAAAGCCGAAGCTTGGCGCCGTCGCTCTTTCTCCACATTTTTTCCAGTTTTCGAGAACGGATTCTATATTGTTGCAAATGCATCGAGAGTTGAGTAACAAATCCGATTCTCGATAAGACAGGTTTCACGTTTTAACCGAAAGCGAATTTCAGCGCGGAAACGCTTTTTTCAAATTCGACAAGAACGAAATATGTCAACAAATTGGTCGCTAAAACCACGACCCGTGTACGATTTGTACGTTCTCCGTTGTTATCTCATTATACGTGTCCTTGTTCGTCAAAATCGACTCGCACATTCGACATTTTTCTCTTCCTGTACCATTAACCCAGTTGAGGGCTGGAGTTTATAGCAAACACGTGTATTCGCCGCGGGATGATTTATGTCAAAATCGATAGATTTAAGTCGGTGGGCGTGTTTTTGGGTGTTAACAAAGTCGCAGACACGTTGCAACGGCGTCAGAAAATAATAGCCCATCTCATGTTTCCGAAACGTTAAGATTCAAAAATAAAACAAGAGCCTTCAAAATTTTTCAGTTTCTTAAAAAATATATTAGGGATTTCCAAGATCTTTCACATAAAGAAAACAAAGGCTCTGAACATTGTTTAAAACTGTTTTTTTACAGAGTAGTTTAAAGTCTTTCAAAAACAAAACAAAGGACCCCCGAAATTTTTTAAAATCTGCCAAAAATAAAACTGTCAAATGAATTTTATTTATGCTGTATTTAACATAAATATCTACTTTTTTTGATTTTTTTATATTTTATTCGTTTTAAAAAAAGCGTTAATGTTCAAATTGCCAGGTAGTATATATTTAACGACAAATTTAAAAAAATCAAATAAACGTTGCTTGTGATGAATTTGGTTTTTTACCCAACTGTAATTATACAATACCAAATTCGTTTAAAAACAATTCGAAAATTTGTACATTTTCACATATTTATCGCACCATTTACATAGTTAATGTTAGTTAAAATGAAAAGGTAACCTTTCATGTCGAAATAAAAATATAGGTTAATTGAGCCGTAAACGAAATGTCGATGTTGGTTAAACCAAAACAAAAATTAAAGGCTTTCGTGCCAGAAATAATTTATGCGTCAAAATACAACGGAAGCATAATGTATTGGTTAAACATGTAACTCACGATTTTTCATAAGTTGCGGCAAAAAATTTCCAACATTAATTAACATGCGCACTTAAACCGTCAACGTTTAATATACGTAAATCACGTTCATCGCTGCTCCGACTACGAAAACTATACGTTATATTTACGTTCGGCGAAACCTGACGTTTATTTTACGTTTTTTCATCATCTGACGCAATTCTCGCACGTCTGGCCTCTCAGGCAGGGCGTTCGATGTGAGTAACGACGCGTTAATGTCTTGGGTTGGCCACGAAGCCGCCGCCAGTGGCTAAATCGCCTGCCGTCCTGATGTATGTCATTTATTATTTAGAGCGATAACGAGCTGGGACACCCCTATGCCATTCGATACTCGCCTTCGGCTAATCCCTGGAGTGTTCGCGTCACCCACGATATTGAATAAAACATATCAGATTAGAGTGTTTTAATTGAAACGCAACCAGCTCGAAGAAAAAAAAATTCAACCCTTTGTATACAGCCTGGCGGTGCCGCAACCCACAATACACGCTTCTGGATTTTCTTTGTTGACAAATTGCATATATAATAAATCTGGATCCTTCCATATGAGAACGCCAAATTTGAATAAAAAGTGCACGTTTTTTAATTTTGATGAGAAAAATTGAGGAAGATATTTTAATGCTTCACTTCTATCGGCACCCCTTAGAAGTCTGAAGTTGTGCCACTTTCAAACTCTCCTATTATCGGTGCAACTTTTTTCTATAACATGAAACAAAAATCTTCAATTTACAGACAAAATTAATTCTAGTAGATGACATCTTACCCCTGTTTCAAGGTTCTCTCGACGATCCTAACACTTTCCTAAATTTTTTCAGTTCTTTCTTTCATTGGACGAATGGGCACTTTTGTTTTCTCGACGTTTCATGACCCCTACAGCACGAAAAAAAGTAGTCCACCTTCAGTTTTTTCGCTCAACGTTCAAAAACGTTTGCAAGGTATAATAACGTTTTATTACCGACACGGTTCGAATTTGGCCGTTTCCTTTTTTTGCATTGGTATAACGCTGTGACTACTTTTCTTTGATGCTGTGACTAGAATTATCCATGTTGATGACGTCATCCCAAATTTTTTATTGGGCAAATTAAGAACGAGTCACCTCATTTTCTCGAAAATGTGAAGAATACGCACGTCTTTATATAATAATGATTAAATAAGAATTATAATGTTCAGAACATTTCGTTCGACTATGGTTTAATTAATAATTTTAGCTCTGTTTTGAGAAGACAAACTCATTCAAATCAAACACGAACTTCTGCGTGACATTCTTTCGATGTATAAACACTTGGGTTTCAGATTGCTATTACCTACTGCTGAAGGACAAGGGATGTTATTTAAGCCTCTGGTTTTTATTTTACAGCGGTTATCACAAAACGAAAATCGTAAAATCAAATTTTATATATTTTTTTAAAGAGCTGGATTTGTCGGGTTTTTTAATTGATGATCAAATTTTGGGAAAGCCAATACTGTTATTTTTAGTATTACACTGCATCAATTCAAGTTGATATACGTGTCCTTGCAAAAATGTTGATGACGTCACAAAATTGTGTAAGAAAAAACTCAACTCGAAAATGCTGGATATGTTTCATTGTACTTCAGGAGCGAGGGAAGTTCTGTCGAAACAACTTTCGACGAATTTGTTTTCTTTTGTTGATATACGTAGTCTTCTCACAACAGGAAATGGTTAATTTTTGTAAGGAATATGTATTTTGCAATTATGCTCCGCCTCTCAGTCTGACAACGAATGAAATGTACACAATTTAGATCGGGGCGGGTCTAGGTGGGGCTTAGTCTTTGGCTTTCTGTTTTATTTAATACATATAGTTTTCTTTGAACACCAAAATTACCTAAGATACTGGTTCCACATAATAAAATCTTGTAGAAAGATAAGGATTTTGCAAGTAAGCTCCGCCCCCGGCTCACGACTAATAAAAAAATCATCACGATTGAGATAGGGCGGGTGGGTGGGGCTTGCATTTGGCTTTGTTTTTCTTAATATACGTAGTGTTTTTTTTACAACAAAAAACTTAAAACTTCAAAATGTTTATAGACAAATATGAATTTTGCAATTATGCTCTGCCCCTCTGGCTGACAACGAATGAAACATTCATCACAACTAAGACGAGGGTGGGTGGGCGGGGCTTATTTTTTTTTTTTTAATATACATGATAATATTTTCCCAACAAAAACTGAAATCATGTTTAAATCATATTTGAAAATCGTAAATTTTTGCAAAGAAATATGGATTTTGCAAATAAGCTCCGCCCCTCGGTCTGACAACGAGTGAAATTTACAGAATTTTTAGATCGAGGCGGGTATAGGTAGGGCTTAATCTTTGCCTTTATTTTTTATTTAATACATACAGTTTTTTTTTAACATCACAATTACCTAAGAACTTGTTTCACATGATAATTTCTTGTAGAAAAATAAGGATTTTTGCTATTAGGCTCCGCCCCCGACTCACGACTAATAAAAAAATCACGATTGGGATAGGGCGGGTGGGTGGCTGGGGCTTGCATTTTGTCTTTATTTTCTTAATATACCTAGTCTTATTTTCACAACCAAAAACTTGGAATAAAAAAATGATAAATGTTTATAGGCAAACATGAATTTTGCAGTTATGCTCTGCCCCTCTGTCTGACAACGAATGAAAAATTCATCACAACTAAGAGGAGGGTGGGTGGGCGGGGCTTATTTTTTGCGTTTTGTAAAAACATCCATAATCTTCTTTTCCCAACAAAAAACTGAAATCGTGTTTAAAAATTGTAACTTTATGTAAAAAAATATGGATTTTGCAAATAAGCTCCACCCCTCGGTCTGACAACAAGTGAAATTTCCACAATTTAGATAGGGGCGGGTATAGGTGGGTGTTAATTTTTGGCTTCCTTTTCTATTTAGTACATAAAGTTTTCTTTGAACACCACAACTACCTAAGAACTTGTTTCACATGATTATTTCTTGTAGAAAAATAAGGATTTTGCAATTAAGCTCCAGCCCCGACTCACGACGAATAAAAAAAAATCATCACAATTGAGACAGGGTGGGTGGGCGGGGCTTGCATTTTGTCTTGTTTTTCTTAATATACGTACTCTTATTTTCACAACAAAAAACTTGGAATTTTAAAATGGTAAATGTTTATAGGCAAATACGAATTTTGCAATTATGCTCTGCCCCTCTTGTCTGACAACGAATGAAAAATTCATCAGAACTAAGATAAGGGCGGGTGGGCGGGGCTTGCTTTTAGTTTCTTGTTTTTTTTTTTTTAATATACGTAATCTTTTTTTCTCAACAAGAAACTGAAATGTTTCAATCGTGTTCAAAAATTTTTGCAAAGAAATATGGATGATGCAAATAAGCTCCGCCCCTAAGTCTGATTACAAATTAAAAATTTACATAAAATTTTTCTGAAACGACATTTATTTAGCTTGTTTGAAATCCCACCCCAAAAGTAACTAAATTTAAAAGTTTATAAAAATTCAATAGAAGACAGATTTTTTTCGGAAAAATTCGTCAAGTTTACAATGTCATTGCTGACCTTATTAGCGTACTAAAACTTTTTTGAAAAGCTAGCTTTGTCCATTTGCTTCTACTTCATACGAAAACCCGTTACAATATTTACTATCACTTCTGATACCATCGTACCTTGCTCTTCTTTTCACCCCTTACCCCATAAATTCGCATAAATCCATATTTCTTTACAAAAATTAAAAAAAGAAGCCCCGCCCACCCACCCTCATCTCAGTTGTGATGAATTTTTCATTCATTGTCAGACAGAGGGGCGGAGCATAATTGCAAAATCCATATTTGTGTATGAAA